GACAGGGACGACTCGGACTCGCTGTCCGAACCGGTGGTGAAAAACCGCGACATGGCGACGACGCCGAGGGGCTGCGGCGGGCGCGGCCGGACCTGCGGGAAAGCCGGAGTCACGGGCCACGAGCAGGGTCGCGGGCCGCCACCCCTCGACCGCTACACCGCACCGACCCCGCACGTACCCGACCCGGAACCCCCTCTCGGAGCACGAGATCCAAGAAACACGCACCAGCTGAGCTCGCGAGGCGCACCGCGTAACCGAAACAGCGGAAACGCGGAGAGAGGAGAGGGCGGGTCCCTTGCGTCACTTCCAGGAAGCGCTGACGCGCAGACTGGGCGACTACAGCTCCCAGGGGCCTTCGCGCCACGCGGAAGGGGCCGGGCCTGATGTAACCTTGGCGGGAAGGACGGTGCTTCCAGATTTCCCCCTCCGACCGCGCGTTGTAGTCGTGTTTCCTTACTCCTAGACAGGCAGCCTCACCCCTCACCTGCGGAATCAGAATCACAGGGCCGGGAGTTTACTTTTTTAAAATGCCCACGTGATGCTGATGAGCTGCAAGGTTTTGGAGCTAGGCGTAGAGCGAACTTGGAATCAGACTTTGGATTCAAATCCCAGCACCGCCACTTACTAGTGTGTGAATTTAGGTAAATTCCTACCCTCTCTGTGATTCAGTCTCCTCAAGCTGTAAAATGACAATAATAGCACCTACTTCATAGAGTGTTATGAGTATTAAATGGCTTGGTATATATGAAGTATTTAGGACAGTGACTTGTACAAAATAAGCATGTAATTGTCAATGAATAAGAGACATAAACTGCAAGTGAGGCAAAAAGTTTGTTTGGGGGCTCAAGAATTGCAAATCTGGGAGCACAGATTCAGGTAGAAATCCAAATAGTGTCCCACTAGGGAGTAAAAGTCAGGGGCTTTTAAAGGCAAAGAAGGGAGGTTGTATTACAAAGAACTTTAATTGGAGGTAGAGAGCTAGTCAGCTAAACGTTGATTGACCATTGATTCTATCATCAGAAAGTCCACAATCCTCAGTCTTTGTGATCAGGATATCCGTTCTCCTGCTGACGTCTCAAACAATTGCTTGTAAAATAATTGCCATTTTGGCCCAGTCCAAAGATCAAGACAGCAAGCCATTTTCTCTGGAAAGGCAGCTCTGACTCCATTTAAAATAGCCCCAATGGCCGGCCCTGTGGCTTGGTGGTTAAGTGCGCGCGCTGCGATGCTGGTGGCCCGGGTTCGGATCCCGGGTGCGCATCGAGGCACCACTTCTCCG